CGTCAGGCCGTCGTCCACGATGAACCGCTTTTTCCATAGCCTTATGAACTCTTCCCAAGAGATCTTTTCATGTAGATCGGCGACCTGGACGTTGTTGATGGACGGCAGGTGGCTGAGCCAGATTTGACATCCGCCTTTTGAGTTGAGGAACAGCGCGCCGATGTACGAGTGCTCGCGGCCAAAAAGAATCCAAAGTTCCATTGTAAAGCCCTCCCACCAGGGGACCAGGCCTTGATGCGTATAATCATCGAACTTTTTGATGCGGAATATCGGCATATTGTAGTGTTGTGCACTAGTGTTGCCATCCTTGTTGGGCAGTTGGTGCAGTTGCTTAACCTCAGTCTTCAAGGTGTCCAGCTGCTTGCTGATGGTGGCTGATGCAGCGAAGGTGTTGATATCATCGAGCATTGCGACTACGTGGTCAACTCGTTCCTCCAATTGGCGGGTAGAGGGTGCATTGCTAAACTCGCCAAGATCTGGTCTTGGTGTCACTTGCTCCAAGTCCTGTACACGGGAATCAAGTGCCCGTGTAGCATTCTCGTGCATATCCTTGTGGTTCCGCACCGCCCGTCGGAGATTCGCCGGCTCGGACTAAAGGTGGTTAGAAGTGTAAACCAACCGGGTCACGAGTTTGGCAAGGAACTCCTTGTGCTGCTCTTCCGGTGTCGTGTCTTCGTGGTGCTCGGATGGTTCAAAATGTCAGAACTTGAGTTTTTCGATGTTGGTGGCTTCATGCTGCTGTAGCAGATCTTGGACCTCCTTGCGGCGTGCCTGGTACTGTGTGTCCGATTTTGAATTCAGTGCGGGTTCCGCGTTGAAAAATTCAACGCGCGTTGAATTCTCGTTAAACTCCCGTTCAAACGCAAGTTTGACGCGAATTAACGGGGTCCGGGATGATTTTTTTCATGGGCTAAAAATTATCCCAAAAAAAATAAAAAAAAATGGGGTTGTAGTTTTTTTTTAGGACTACAACCCTGTATTTTTATTTTTATTTTTTTATGCTTAAAGCTATTTAAAAAAAATCAAAAAGATAAACACACAATGAAAAAACAAAAACTAAAATGAAATGAGTGTTTTTGTTTTGGGTTTCACACAGACTTTTTAAGGGCTAAAACAAAAACAAAAAAAACAAATAAAACATATAGGGTTGTAGATTTTTCAAGGATGTACAACATTTTTTTTTTTTTTTTTTTNATGAGTCGGTGAAACTCCGACGAAACAGTTTGCCACAGCCCCTCGTTTGTTGTCCTCTTCTCTCTCTCTGCCTACGGTTTACCAGGCAGTTCTGTTTGTGACGATATATATATATAGTCAAACAGAGTTGCCCGGTAAACCGTAGGCAGAGAGAGAGAAAGGACAACAAACGGGGTGTTGTGACAAACTGTTTTGTCCGAGTTTCACCGAATCATCAGGAGGTTGAACCCTCAACAATCTGTAGAATCCCCTAACTGATTACACTGTAATTGATAATCCTATGCATCAAGGACTGCTTGATAACTGATACCCTGAGGTGGGCACCAACCACTGCCCTCAAGGTACCTGTGCCGAAAGTCAAAGCAGACTATCACTCACCCACACCAGATGGAAAACTCTACAGACTGTCGGTTCACACCTCATCACAAGCCAGCAAAACACCCATGAAACAAAGAAAGGTCTGTGACAGCCAAAAAAGACACTCCAGACAATCTGTTGGCACTAGAGGTACAGCATGGCTGTGTAGTGACGGCCCCGACCACTACCCCTCGACCTAACCGGAAAAAACCGTAGCAGGGTGCTAGCAATTTAGTAGCAAAGTCGTGGTATATATCGTCAAACAGAGCTGCCCTATATATATATATATGTATATATAGGGGGCTGGTTAGTTGGATTATGATGCCTCACGGCCGTCGCCCTTGTTCTCCCAAAGAAAAAAAGGAAAACAGGCAGCAACCATAAAAAAGGGGGAAAACCAGGAAAAAAAAAGATGGGGGGAGGGGGAAAGGGCGGCTTGTTTTTTATAAGAAATTAGATCAATCATGACTGCTTTTTTTGTTTTCCCCCCAAAGGTGATGTATTACTGTAAATGGGCCCAGTGCTCAAGGCAATACGTCCATTGCAAGGTTTGTTATCAGGCTTGGTTAGCAGGGAGGAGAAAACAAAAATCGGGCATTAATATCATAATAATCATAGAACGAAGACTAGACATTACCATCACAGAAGAAAGATGTCAAAAATCGTATAGAGTTATACTATAATCATACTCCCTTAAAGCACCAGTACTTGGCCCAGCTATCGATGCCCAACATGGAATGCCCCTGCTCGCCAATTTTCGTTGAAGCTCCGGGGTACTGTTTAAAAAAAAATTTGGCTGGTTCTTCCAGCCATTGTGGTCCCGTACCCCGAAGCCCTAAAGGCGTGGCGCGTTAACGGGAAAGTGCCGCGGCCGATAGCTGGGCCAAGTACTGGTGATTTAAACCACCACCACCAAGTATCAGAGTGGAAGGCTAAGTCGTAAATATAACCTATATCGCATTCGTTGGAGGCCAGAGGTCCCGTGCCGCTGCACCAAAACGGCTGGCGGTGTCAGCCAGAAGAAAACAAAAAAGGTTGTGCTGGCGCTTCAGCAAAAGCTTGGTGCACAGTTGTGCTCAGTGGAAGGCTAAGTTAGAACTATAAAACTTCGGAGGCCAAGCGCCAGGGGACCAAAATGGCTGGCAGCACCACCCAAACAAACAGAAAATCCGTTGGCTTGCAAAAACGACATCGTGTTGGGAGCTGGTGTTGTTTATGACAACGCGGCAATGGTGTGGGTGGGTAGAGTGTGCAATCCGCCCTGAAATGCGAGCAGGCGAGTGGGTTCTGCGGGGTCTGGTTCTGCAGTTGGGACCCTGCAGAAACGGACCCCTGCTGTGTGGGTGGCAGGGCGGTTCGGCAGGGTGTGGTGTCAGCTTTGGAGGGTAGCTTTTTTGTGTAGGTCTGTTGCTGTTTTTGTACAAGGCCCAGATGGGACTTCAAACGTTTCTATTTCTGATGTGAGGGACGCTGGACCCGGTTTCCGGTTTGTAGAATGCAATAGCAATCACGGTATGAACCTGGCCGGAATCCCCCGATGGGACCATGTCCCACTTGCACCATTGAGTTAACTCAGACTACTCAGTGGTGTGACAATTGAAAATGTTAATTTTAATTCGATTCAAAAGGAGAAATGCATTTATAGATTGCGTGTGGAGACATTCCATTCCTTTTAAGTTCTTTCTTTTGTCACAAATGAAGAGTTGCCAGAATCCCATAAATCATGCCTCTGATCCGTCAGACGTCGTATCAATTTACTATCAAAATGGCAACCAGAAAAAGACTCCTACAATTTCGCCAAAAAAAAAGGCGGCTTTTGCTGGCCGAATGTCTTTGAGCTGGCCTGTGTCGTCCCCCGTACGTCATACGGGGGGTCTCTGTACGGCCCGTACGGACGGACGGACGGATGGCCGTACGGGTGTACGGACGGCGGCCGTACGGCGGTGATTTGCGGGCCAAAAAAAACCAAAAAAATAAATAAAAAATGGGGTCGTAGATCTTGAAAAGATCTACAACCCTACATTTTTTTAATTTTATTTTTACCTTTGAAAGGATTTTTTTTAAATCAAAAACAAAAAAAAAAGAAAAAAAAAAAGAAACTCGTGGCAAAAAAAAAAACGGGCAGTTGCCCCGCATGCGTGTGTGTGTGTGTGTTTGTGGGGGGGAGGCGACCCCCCCACTGCCAACCAATCAATCAATCAATCA